GGGGGTAACGCGTCCGAGGGCGGCAGGGAAGCTCTGCGCTCGACCTCCCTGTCGACTAACTCGGTGTGTTCGGGGTCCGCGTGTTGAGTGCTGGTGGTGCACTGCTCTTGCAGTGCATCGGCCAGCAGCTCAGCCTTGTCATCGTCATCGAATGCCGGTGGTTGGCCTGAAGGGCGTACGAGGGGAGGCATAGTAGCGGTAGTTTCGGATTTGAGAGTCCTAGCTAGTCGCCAGTATGCTTGGTGGGAGGGCGCGAGTTGTTCTAAATAACTATGCCAATTATCGTTACGCGCGTCGCTTAGGCGGGAGTGGACTTCGCGTTGTAGACGACGCATCCGAATCCGGTTTGAATGCGTGGGAAGCCGATCGTAGGCCCGGATTGCCGCGTTCCTAACTCTTAAGAGATTCCTAAGTTCGGAGGATAGTCTGATGCGGTGGAAGCTGTCCTCCACATCGACTTCTTTTGAAGATCTAATGATCGCGGAAGAGATGTGATCGGTAATGATGTTTATGGATTTGACGGTGTCCTCGGGGGATAGATTCGAATCCAGGCCGTAAGGGAGGATTGGCGGAGCGGCTTCGGCTAGGCACGTGCCCAGCTTATTCCAATCCACAATTTTCATGAACAATTCGAAATTCGAATTCAATAAACTTTTTTGTGGCCAGCATTCTAAAAGAAAAGTTTTTACTGTGTGACAATACTTATGACCTGACTAGTTATATATTAATACGTGAAGCAAAAACTTTGTATACCTTTTTAAGAAAATTGCGCGGACGGAGGAGTATGAAATTTTCCACACTCATAGAGAATATAGAGAAGAAGTGCACAATGCTAATATTTTTTTAAAATAATGCATAATAGATACATTAAATCAATAAAGAAAACATTACACACACTACATACCATGTATTTGACGCACACACGCATGCATACTATTTAATCAAACTTTTGTTCTTGACGTCTGTTGTCAAATTGAGAATACATTAAATATGGTCTTGGTTAATATTTTTTAGTGTAGTCTTGGCGAAATTTGTGATTTTAGAAGTATAAAATACAATCATAATAGTGTACAAACTTACAATTCCAAATAATTATAGTCGAATTTCGACTACTGCGGGACCTCTAGTCCTGATTAAAACAACAACAAAAAAGTAGTAGTTTCGATTTTTAATTGAACTTCAATTAATTTTACTCCATTCAAATAATTCAAATAGCTGAGAAGATACTTGTTATAATATTTTTTACAAAATTTAAACATTTAACATAGCTCCCCTGGAAGGTTGCAAAAATGTCGCTTAAACCAAATAGCCCCCTTGATATATGAAATTATAGGTAAATGAAAATCAAAGACACACCTTTTACTATGTAAAATATTTATTTAAGTTCAAAGAATGAAGTCGTGACCACAATACAAGTTACCGTTGAAAATATGACAACCAATTTTAAGTAAACATATTATTATGTACTCTTCATACACTAATTGCTATTGACAAAAGTGCTGTTACCGTTACGCATTAAAAAAGAAAAAAAAAACATTGGATTGTAAAAAAATGCATGTTTTAACATGCACACGAGTCAATTACAAAAAAAAAAACGTCTTTAATAAATAATTTATTTCACAGAGCACATCACTAGACTCGCTCAACTCTGACACGTTGGGACACCTCAAACAAGAGAGAACAATCCAATAATGAAGCTTAATTTTATATATTAGTTTCAAGGTTTTTTTTTGTATTCATTTTCATCCTAAGCCTGATAGAGAATAATTAAACGAATTAATTCGCAATTTATTCTTTAAATGTATTAAATATTATATTCATACCTGATAATTTTGAAAAATAGCATTAATAACTTTCGTAATTCAAATACTGCCAAGTAAATTCTTTGTCGTGTAAAAGTCAGCATACTGATAAGTACTTAATTGGGCAGTTATATTGTGTAAATAAAACCATAATAAAATTATGAAAGTCTTATCGGTGTGCGCGCGGAAAAACTTATGCTTAACAATTTTTTGTAGTTATATTTATAATTGTTTGTTTGTTATCATATAACAACTAGACACTTTATCTTGAATCTTCATTTAAAATCATTAAGCTCACCGTAATACTCGATAGTTGGCGCTATATCTGAATATTATTAGTTTGTTTTGGGTGATTTAATATAAATTGAATTTCTAAAGGATTACTCACGCAGACAAAGTCGCACGCACAACTAGTTTTGTATATTTTTATTGTGAACGATGAATAAAAACATGTAAATAGACAAATTGTTTGTTTTAAGCTATTGCATAGCTTCTATCGCGGGCCTTGAGCGTGGAGACCGAATCATGAAATTCCGTAACGAAAAAAACCTTACACCCCTCACTCCGCCTACCATGTAGCTCGCGTTCAACACATTCACACGTTGCGCTTGTGTAGTGTTTGTGAATAAGCGCGTGGCGTGACGTCACACTTCATGCGCATCATGAAAAGTCTGCCCATCTCTCTCTCGCGCGGTCTAGCTTATGAGTGTGAAGGGAACAGTTAAGGTTTTGCTTTTATTAATGTTTAATATTGCGTGGTCTTGTTTTATTATTGTTTTAATATTAAATTATCATTGTCTAATTATAATTGCATAAGTTGATAAAAAATGCTATGCAATAGTTTTACCGCGGCAGTTTCCGAGTGCTACACGTTTTTTTTTTTAAACCTTACAGCGTCTAGTGTACATCGGGATGCTAATGGAGTTATGCGTTCACATTCACTTGAGCAGTTCACTGTCCTCTGATAGCTTCTTCTCCCTGACCAAGTTGTTGAGGTGTTCGATGAGCGCCTCCACGGACATCTCGCCGTGCACCTTGTTGTCCCGGGTGCGGACGTTCACCGTCCCGGAATTCTTCTCACGCTCTCCCACAACTGTTGGTAATCGAAATTAATCGACTGCATTCGTGTGGATGTGTATGTGTGTGTGGATGTGTATGTGTGTGTGAGTGCGCGCGTGTGTGTGTGTGTGTGTGTGAGTTGTGTGAATGCGCGTGTGTGGGTGCGTGTGAGTGTGAGTGAATGCGCGTGTGTGAGTGCGTGTGTATCTGAGTCGTGTGTGAGTACGTGTGTATGTGTGTGTGTGTTTGTTCTATTGCTTAGGTGGGAAGCAACGTTCTCATAGTATTATAAGAGTTTAATGCGATCGTCAAATGGCGTTTATCATGTCCGCACGGGTATGTACCACCGTTCTGACTATAAATGCTGCGAAGCAGTCGCGCGTTCCAGTTTGGCGGTTGGATTAGCCGTTGTATAACACAAGTCACAACTAGACCTCATGTCTCAAGGAGAATGGCGACGTTCTCATTGCGACACCTACGGTCTCCACTGGTCGACCCTAAGCTATACGAGTACGGGTACCCACATACAAATTACATTTAAAAGTCTTGTTTGTATATTAAAGTTTTAGTAACACGCAAATAAAAGTGAGTTTAATATTGGATTACCTAATATATAGTTGAACTGGGCGAGCTGAGCGTTCCTCACTTTCTTGTTGAGGGTGTCTCCCGCGTCCGTGTCTACCTCGGACATGAAGCCGGCAGCGAATAGTTTATCATTCACCTACAAAAAAAATCATAAATAATATATCTCCTTAGATATAAGGTGACATGACATGAGCTTCTTTAAAAGAGGCTTGTGGAGCGTATTAAGCGGTAGGTAGCGGCTTGGCTCTGTCCCTGGCATTGCTGAAGTCCATGGGCGACGGTAACAACTCACCATCAGGTCGGCCATATGCTCGTCTGCCTACAAGGGCAATAAAAAAAAAAACATTCAACAAAACTTGCATACGCCCCGTCATGACCTATGCAAGCGTAGTATTCACTCACGCGACCCGCCCTAAGAAAATAGACTGGTGCTCGAGAGGTTTAAAAGCACAGAAAGTGAATCTGGGGGATCCAACAAGGCATGTTTCGGGAGATGGCGGCTTTGCGTGACCCCGTCGCGGTAGGTTTTTTTTAAAGGGATTTTATGACCTGGTAACCAAGACAGGTCATGTCTTATTTTAATTTACATTCTTATTTTTATGAAAAATTATAATACAGAATAAAACAAATCACACAACTTCACTCCTCGCGTTCCCGCCAAAAAGTCCTAAAGTTGACGTTCTAGTGTTGCATCATAGATAATATGTAGATAGATTATAGGTAAGTTGCAATCTACATACCATAAATAATACACATAATATCTATGAGATATACGTGAAAAAGTGTTAGAATTTATAAAAGATACTTAGTGATTTAAAATGTAAATCATTTCGTTTTATATCGATATCGATTATATTTAGTTCATTTAAGATCCTGATTATTTTTGTTTTTCGATTGGAACAAATGTTGGGTTGACACTCCTCGCTTTCCCGCCAAAAAGTCGCGGTCGGATAAGAGAGAGACACGAGATATAGATTAGAGTGAGATGGCGAGAGCGGTGACGTTACTGAGCACCTGCACGGCGTAGTCGTCGAAGGCGGGCCCGACGGGCACGACGCGCAGCTGGCGCGGGCTGAGCCACAGCGGCCACTTGCCGGCGTACGACTCGCTGAGGATGGCCACCATGCGCTCCACCGAGCCCAGCACCGCGCGGTGGATGATCACAGGACGCTTCTTGTCCCCGGTCTCGCTGCAACCAACGTGCATCATGAATATTATTTTTTATTGCTTAGATGAGTGGACGAGCTCACAGTCCACCTGGTGTTAAGTGGTTACTGGAGCCCATAGACACCTACAACGTAAATGCGCCACCCACCTTGAGATATAAGTTCTAAGATCTCAGTATAGTTACAACGGCTGTCCCACCCTTCAGACCGAAACGCATTACTGCTTCACGGCAGAAATAGGCGGGGCGATGGTACCTACCTGGTGGTATTATTGATAATATTTAAATAGGACGTATAGTAGACGCGTACACTTAACTACGCTTACAAAAAAAAATAGGTTCCCCGAGACTACAACCATTTTGTAAAATCATATATATAACACTTAACTTTTTAATTTGTCGTTTAAGTGAAAGAAAACGGAGCAGTCTCCTCCTCGTGAAACGTTGGTCGGTTGTTGTGTAGTCAATGGGCTACAGTTACCACGCTAATGGAATTGTTTTGAAGAAAACCAATTAAGTTAATTACCATAAACATTAGGTGGGATGGGACTGCTATACTAATACTTTTTTTTTCAAGCCGAGATTGAAGCCTCCGCCCTTGAAATTCTGCCACGCCAGGACACGACTTCCCCCATAGCCCACAGCTGCTATACTAATAGTTCCGCTTCCAGGTCCCAGGGAGGCGTCCCGGCGAGTACGCACGCCGCCTCGAACGCAATCCCGCGCTGCGGACGTCGCAACTCTGCGATGTTGTCGTGCCTCAGGGCGTGGCACCATACGGGAGCCCGTATACTAATACTAACTTTTTTTTCCGGGGGGAAATCCTCATGGACTACCTTCGCCTGGGGAGAGGCGGAGGGGCTTCCGGACTCGTACCTGCTAAAACCAACTCGGTGTCTACCCACTCGTGCGCGCGGGGCCCCGGGAATCAAAATTCTTCCGTAGCTACTAATACTAACCTAACGTAAGTCAAGTTGAATCTCTCGGGCAGCTGGAAGTCCAGCTGTATGGTGGCGCATTGGTGGGAGCGCCTCAACGCGTCCTGTATCGTGATGTCGATCTTGGGCCCGTAGAACGCACCATCGCCGGGGTTCAACTGCCACGGTTTGCCGAATTTGTTCAGAGAATCTTCTAGAGCCTGCACAAATCGAACAATATTATATACAATAAACTACTAAAGTTAATCGGTAAATTCGACAATAATCACTCTGAAAACAAGATTTAATTTCATTTCGTTTATCATCAATTTGCCTTGTACAGGCGGGAAAAATACGCATTCCAATTTTTTGTTGGCAACACAAACTCTTTTATAGGCATAATATAAAAAAAAATATAATTTGACAAACAGCGGAAGAAATAATACTATAATAATATTAAGTTGTACTGTAATTTTTCTTATTCGTAGATTCGTTTGGCTTAAAGGTTTCGTTAGCAAGGCATAATATCTTAGATCCAATTCGCAACAACTATTAATTTAACCATTGAGCGTATTGTGGGTCCGCAGGAGGGACAGTTTTATTCATTTCTACCGCAAATTAGAAAATGTTCAGGTTTGAGTAGGGTAGAATCTGCAATTGAGTCTTTGAGGTTAATTGTATGATGGCTAAGGTAGTGTTCGTTTTATGTGCTCTGGTAAAAGTTTACCATGTTACCCGTATGGTCAGTCTCAGGTAGACAACAAGCGTCCGTAGCAAATAAGTAAAAGCCCGATGTGACCCGTCAAATTTTTTTTATTGCCCTTGTAGACAGATGCATATGGCCCACCTGATGATGATTGGTTACCGTCGCCCATGGACTTCAGCAATGCCAGTGGCAGAGCCAAGCCGCTGCCAACCGTACAGATCGCTCACCTTTTCAGCCTGGTTCCAGGTCTCCAACTCTCCGAGGTATTTCTCAGGCCTGGTCGAGAGTTTCAATTGGAACGTGAAACCGAAAGTGGAGTACACGCACTTCAAGAACTCAAGGCAGCCGACCTGCGAACAAGACGAGAACATTTTAACCAAAACCTTAAATATATATTTGAATAAGATAATAAACTCTTATTCCAATTAAATGGGGACGTTGTGGAGGAATAACATTGGGTGATAAAAAAATGAATCCGCAAAAACGGAGACCTTAGAAGTCATATCTCAAGATAAGTGACAGGATTTATATTGTTGATGTCTGTGAGTTCCTGTAGCCACTGAGCACTATGTGGACCGTGAGCTTGTTAAGCCATCTTAGCAGTAAAAAATAAATTAGTAAAAATAAATAGAGGGGATCGGACGTTTGGGCGAAAAGTGCAGGGGAGTCGTTTAGTGCGTAAGGTCCTGAAAACATCTTTGGGCCCGCGGTCTCGCAGTCGCGGGCCAGTCCCACATATCCCGTGCGCCCCCTAGGCGCGGGGACCTCGTAGGAGGTTCGACCCCCGGCCCGAAATAAAAAAAAGTGTTGACAGCGGCTCACAATCTCGGCCTCGATCTGTTGCGGCGCGCAGAAGATGTGCGCGTCGTCCTGCTGGAAGCGCCGCACGCGCGTGAGGCCGGTGAGCGCGCCGCTCAGCTCGTTGCGGTGCAGCACGCCGAAGTCGGCCAGCCTCAACGGCAACTCGCGCCACGACCTCGTGCGGTTGTCGAACATCAGGCTGCGGGATACAAAAGCAACCCCTTAATGTTTTCCCTGTTTATTTATTTTTTAATCTAACTTTTCGAACACTTGCCGTTTTCACGATAGACTGAAAGATAAGGAAAATATTATTTTGGTAAGAATAATTTTGTCTTCTGTTAATTTTGTCTAATTAAAGACAGTCTCTCTTGTCTAAAAATAATTATAAGTTTGATTGTTGTATTCCCTATTTCTAATGATTTAACCGTATAACTGTTGCATATATGGAGTCTCCGACAGTGTACCACAATAATCGGTACATTGTTATTGCTTCACCTTCATAAGGTATTTTCATCATCATCTTCATAAGCTGATGGTCTTGAGAGACCACATCAGCGTAGCCGGACAAAGAGGTGAGCTCACAGGGCTCAAACCTGACATAGATTCTACGAAGCACTGCTCTTGCTAGGGCTAGTGTTAACAACGCTTGTTAGAGCCCCGTGAGCTCACCTACTGATTCAATGAATCCAGTATGACCCCTCGAGGTCACTAGAATAGATAGAGAAAAAAAAACATTTCGTCACTAGACAATTTTAACCAGCTCGCATTGAGTACTAATAGTGTCAACTTGTTTGATTTTCGTTTACCTATCTTTGAAATCCGACATGAATATGTTGTACTATTATTATTTATTATTCCCAAATACATCTAAGAACTTTGATATCCGACATGAATATATTGCACTTTTAGCTTCCCAAATAAAACTATCTAAGCTCTAGTGGGACGTGTTATCAGCTCCACTTATAAGGCAACTGGTATTCGGTCTTCAATTGAGGATACATTGTGTTTCAATGAATTGTTATTGCATTGAATTGCTGTTCGTTAGTCTCGCTAAAACTCGAGAACGGCTGGACCGATTTGGCTAATTTTGGTCTTGAATTATTTGTGGAAGTCCAGAGAAGGTTTAAAGGGTAGATAAATATGAAAATGCTCGGAAATAATTAAAAATAACAATTTTGTTTTTCCTTTGATGTGTACCCCGTCAGACGGATTCCTTTTGTTTGTTTTAAGTTTATTTTACACAAAAGCTTAGGTCTTTCACTTATCGATTGAGGCACTACGAAGTCTGCCGGGTCAGCTAGTTTTTGAATATAATCTTACCAATGTCCGGGACAGTTCATCGGTTTCAAAGCGAACGTTTCCTTTTCAACGTCGAACGAGAACATGTTTTCAGCGTAGTGAGCCCAGTGACCCGAAGTCTGCCACAGCTTGGCGTTGTACATATTCGGGGTCACCACTTCATGGAATCCTCTGGACCTGGTGTCAAAAGATAGCATATATAGCATATAAGATGTAATTTAATATATTCCACAAGCATCCTAATATGTTAGTAGATTAATGTAGATTTGTATCAAGTGACATGCAGACATGTATAAAAAAAATTAAACATTGTGTCGCAATGTCATTTGCAAAGTTTCTATAATTATTAATTAATTAATCTATACTAATATTATAAAGAGGAAATATTTGTTTGTTTGTTTGTATTGAATAGGCTCCGAAACTACTGAACCGTTTTGAAAAATTCTTTCACTGTTTGGAAGCTCCCCGAGTGACATAGGCTTATAATCTTTTTTTTTTTAAATTAGGGATCCTTACTAAAAGTCCAATAGTGTAACCTAAGGTGTAAAAAAATTACCTAAAATATTCTTTAAATCGCGTGCCCTGCGAATACTATTGATGATAGAATAAAATAATTTACTACGACTTTGTAGAAGACATCATTATTTAAAAAAGTATCGCGACAACATATCTCTAACTATTATAGTTATGCCGCAATACTGTTCTTTTATTTAAAAAATAAAACAACGTCAATGAAATTTTTGTTAAAGTCCCGAGCGGAGCCGGAGAGGGCCGCTAGTATATTAATAATTACTAAATGAATGAAAATTATGTGAGGATTTTTCTTATAATAAAACCATAAAAATTAATATATTACCTGTATTGTTCTTTAATGAAATTCACGAGTGTGTTGTAAATGTGAGCTCCACGTGGCTGGAAGAAACACGAGCCGGGAGACAGTTCGTGGAAGAAGAATAACTCTTGTTCCTGTCAGAATAGAACTAAGGTGTAATTTTAAAACAAGTCGAGATCGCGATTATTTACTGCTTCAATGTTGGTTGGGAAAGGGGCCTAGACTGACTAGACTTTTCATTGGTGGTAGGACCTCTTGCGAGACCGCACGAGTAGGTTCCACAACCCTGCCTGTTTCTGCCGTGAAGCAGTAATGCGTTTCGGTTTGAAGGGTGGGGCAGTCATCGTAACTATACCTGAGACCTAAGAACTTATATCTCAAGGTGGGTGGCGCATTTACGTCGTAGATGTCTATGGGCTCCAGTAACAACTTAACACCAGGTCGGCTGTGAGCTCGTCCACTCATCTAAGCAATAAAAAAATAAAAAATGCAAAACAACAAGGTCTGGTTTGGTGGGGATAAAAATAGTTAAATTATTTTACCCTTCCAATCTTTCTGTGGTCACGCTTGGCGGCCTCCTCTTGAATGACCTCCCATTCTTTCAGCTGTTTCGGTTCCGGAAATGATATACCGTACACGCGCTGTAAGCTCTCCGCTTCCGCTTTGCCCTCCCAGTACGTTGCCGAATTCTGATTGGAAAACATAAAAGATAAGCAAAAAAAAAAAGGTTTTATTTTTAACTAGCTGACCGGGCAGACTTCGTAGTGCCTCAATCGATAAATAAAAGACCTACAATTTTATATAAAATAAACTTAAAACAAACAAAAGGAATCCGTCCGACGGGGGACACATCAAAGGAAAAACAAAATTGTTATTTTTATTTCATTCCGAGTATTTTCATATTTATCTACCTTTTAAACCTTCTCTGGACTTTCACAAATAATTCAAGACCAAAATTTGCCAAATCGGTCCAGCCGTTCTTGAGTTTTAGCGAGACTAACGAACAGCAATTCATTTTTATATAATAATATATAGATAGAAGATAGATTCATATTTTAGATTTGACGCAGATTTAGGCAATTGAATGATTTAGTCACTGTTTTAACAACTATTACTATTCTATTAGTAACTTGTGTCATTATAAAAAGGTGTCCTTAGTTATAAGCAACATATTGTAAGCCGTGGCTTCACCCGCGCGTTTTAAGAAAAGTGGGTATGAGATATTCGGGATAAAAGATAGCCAAAGTCCTCTTCTGACTTATAACTTGAAAAAATCATGCCTTTACGTTGAAAAATGATGCGAAGTATAAACACACTTTCATATCAATAATATTAGTATGGATTATCTATTCGGCAAAAGGAAAATTAAAATAAATCACCTTCGTAACTTTTAATGCTTTAACTTTTCCCGTGTGTCTAACGTGAGGTCCCCTGCACAAGTCTATGAGTGGACCACACCTGTACACAGTGGTCGTCGGCGTCTGAACTTTCTCATTCAATATCCGAACTTTGAATGGATTGTAATCGAACATTTCCAATAACTGTTCCTTTGTCAGTTCTAAACGTTCAAAGGGCTGTTTTTCTTTTGCAATTTTTTTTATTAGCCCTTCTAGTACGTTGAAATCTGTTGAGGATATCTGTAAAATATTTTAAAAGGAACAATTGTTAGTTACTATGCAACTCCATTCATAAAATTTAAAGGTGACAAATTTAATGAATCCAAACATTTTCTTGTTAAACATTTCTCTGACCGTCAGTCACTCAGTGGCCAGGAAAACTGTAATGTATCATAGTAAGCATAATCTGTAAAGTATTTGATACATGATATTGTATGATGACAATAAAGAAATGCTAGATAATACTTTATAATTCAGGTAAATTTTTTCAGATTATAATTTAAATTTAAAAAAAGCAACTTACCCCTTTCTCTGGATAATACATGTCATAGTAGAATCCTTCTTCTATGGGCGGCCCATAGCATAGACATCCTCCATACACCTAAAAATTATGCCACTAATTAATTCATTGTATACTTATTACTTAGATGGTCTATAATTTATATTAAAAAAAAAAACGAATTTATTGTCAAATTTGTCTGTTAAATTGGTGGGATATTTCAAGGTTCTGCGACTATATCCTGATTTGATCCTAGGGAAAGGTTTCAGAATTTTGACTGGGACCATCATCCTACCACGTTCAGCCTTCAAATCAGTCACATATTGCAAGTTGAGAGTTTCAGCAATGATTACTGAAAACAAATTTGAGATTCTTTTCTACTTAGATTTAATATTGTTGTTTAGAAATAATAACAATGGTATAATTATATACTAATATATTCAATTTTTTATTTATTAGCATACTCTTAAATTTTTTGTATTATTATGTAACGTAAATATAAAATATGTAGTATATTTTACATGAAGTGTAATAAATAAATAAATAATTTATGTCAGTTTAATCATGCATACTCTTTCCATAGCTTCTCCCAGCATATGAGCAGAAGAGTGCCAGAAGACCGCCTGTGCGTCGGTATTGTCCCATCTTAGCAGCTCCAACTTACAGTCTCCTTCTAGAGGCCGATCTAGATCCCACAGTTCATTGTTAACTCTGGCTATTATTGTTGCGTCAGCCAAACCTTGACTGGAAATGAAACCCAATTTATTATTTTGTATTTCATGCAAAGTTTTAGCCTGTGATGTGGACTTTGATGGTATTTTACAGTTTGTAAGCTTCAATTATGAATAAATATTAATAATTTATTTTTGTTTTAACTCACAAAAGTGAGCAATGTTCTAATACTATGAAAATAAAAATTTGAAAATCAGGCCTAGAACAATATAAATCTGATTAATTTTGTCTTAGATAAATTAGAGATGTTTTAACTTTACTTACACACGAACATTTCACAGTGAACAGCAATAATACATTTTGCACAAAATTTAACACTATATTCTTAGAAGCTTTCACATAAGCATAAATAGTGTGTACATCCTTGCAACACATATAGCATGCTTCTTATTCATACATGCATGCTGATGTTAAAATGATTTATTGTTTCAAGTCAAAATATTATATAGTTGTTTTCAATCATCCATCAAATATATAAAGCTATGTTCCGCTCATATAATTTTACTTACAATTCACTCCAAAACTCGCTTGGGAGCAGGAAATAAAATATTTTGAGTTTAAAATAAATAAAAACTGGAGTGTTTTAAGCAAGAAAAATCACACATTTTTAGTGAGTTACTATAAAGTGCCAAACTCATTTTATATTATCCCCTTTCTGGATTATTTACAGGTTTGCTAAAATTGATTATTTAAAGTAATTATAAAAAAAAAACTTATTTTTTAATAACTAAAAGTTTTACAAACCTGATTCCTTTGGCAACATCATAAGGTGTGGTTTTCCAAGCCTTAGCTTCTACAGTCTTCCCATCAGGTAATGTGACCACAACACTTATATCTGGCTTAGACGCAATCTGTTCAGTATATTGCGCCTTATATTTGTCCCATAATGTTATACGCTTCTGTATATACTCTGGCCATGGGTTCATTTCAGAAACCGCATTGGAATCTTCAGTTTTCTTTTTCTTTTCTTTCATGGCTTTTGTTTTAGACTGTTAAGCAAATTATAAGTTTTATATACTTTATTAAGTTCTTTATCTAGTTCTTTTTTATATAGTTATACCTATATACTTTTAAATAATAATTTACACAGCTGATAAAGGCAACAACGTGTTCATCTTTCCTTTGCCATTTCATTTTAATTATTATGATAGATATTATTAAGATCATAGTTAAAAAACTAATAATTTTTCCTTGGCTCAAATACATATTGAGTGGATCAGTAACTAAACCTGACAGTAGTTAAGGTTCTAGGGTCGTAGGTTTGATTCTCAAATTAAGGATATATAGCATGCAGGATCAACAGGTGCCTTTGCTCTGTATTTGGGTAATTCAATATCTATATATGTATTTGCATTTATATTTAAACATATATCGATATGTACATCATTACATCATACATCTTTGGTATACCTAGCACAGTGAATCCCAGTTTAACAGTAAATGTGGCCTATAAAATCAAAGGCAGCTATATCCAAGTCTGTGAAATATTCAGGTAAACTAAAAAAATGGGCCCTAAACATGCCATTACGGATCCTCCCGATCCATCTAAGTACTGTTCTTGCTAGGGCCAGTGTTAGCAACACTCCCGGTTTGAGAATCTGAAATAACTTTGTTCATATAGCTACAATATTCTTTATTTTAAAACAGATTTATAAAGAATGAGAATATTACTAATAATCTGAATTTTAAATGATAAAACTTCGTTTATTAGTACTTAATACAGAGTAAACAACTGAATTTGTTATAGATTTAGCTGCATTTGTTATAACATGAAAACACTAAAGCATGTTCAACTAACTAAACAAGATAAGAGCCATTGTTAATACATTTTACAACATTATGGCGTTTAGTTGACTGATTTTATAGGCCTCAAATAGCCAAGTATAATGTTTCCCAAATTATCACTTATTATTATGTTTATTAGTACATAAGTAGTACATATTATTATTATTATTATTACAATGTGAACGCTACCACTAATTTGAGACTTTAAGAAATTAAACTTCAGTTTTAAGGAAGATTGACCATGTAGGGTAGAATAATATGCATTCCAAACTATTTTTATAAGAAAGGAATGGTGTCATCTCTTAAAAAAAACAATATTTTACAGATGCCAATAGCAGCCCACACAGGTGGGTCGAAATGCTGGCTATTCCGGTAATTAATTCTAGTTTGAAAGCTGTACGTAAGCTTGTAAGTATTTTATAATAAAAATTAATACTTCATTTGCATGTATCAGGGTGGGTGACTGCTTTAACATGATACCTATGAATTCTAGTGAACATTTTAACAACAAGCGGGTCATGAGCTGGACTAGTAATCTGTCAACCCTTCCCAACTATTAAAAATTAGAATTATATGAAAAAAAAAAAATTATTGAATTTGATTTTAAAACTTCGTAGATTAGTAAATATAACCCATCAGAAAGTACGTAAATACGTTCATTTTATTGAATGAATTTTGCACTAAAAATATGGAAAAATCACTACGATGATTTAATTAATTAATAGGTTTTTTTCTGACTATTTGCCTACAGACCCATGTGGCGTAAGCGTAGCCCTCTTTGCAGCGGACCACGCAGGCCCCACGGAGGTTTATTAATTTTAACATCACTTATACACTACGAAAATTCACTGTTAACAAATATTATCATTTAAAATCCTGCCTTTTCGTTTATATTTAAATTTTTGATATCTTCGGCAGCGGTGTCACCCATTGCGATCGTGTATCGTGTCCTATTTTGACAATGACAATGACAGATGACACAGACTTTAAGTCTTTCCAAATAATTGCGTTTTGTTCCGTAATAATTGAAAAGTCACACAATCTGTATTTACACCTAACAATTTTTTTATACATCCGTTACAAAATCTAGGTACCTATTTTCCTTTGTTTATATTTCAATTACATTAAGCTACATTACATATACCCAATTATTATATTTTTCGTGATAGAAAAAGCTCCTTGATAAAAATTCTCAAAAACATACAAATGTCTAAGTGACACAAAAAATAAAATTAAATAAGCTAAAGCAATAAAATTTCAGTGAATATATTACATTTACATAATCATGGCACTACAGCGAGCGCGCCACACTGATGCTTTACAGCGTATTATGATTTCTTTCAAGCATTTCGAAAAGAAACTTGATAAATTACAAGATGACGTAAACGACCACGGCAAAACTTTAGGTGACCTCAAGACTATGGTGAGCAAACTTTCACAAAATACAGTAATCGGTCCTGAAAGCAAGCTCGACGATTGGAGGGTACCTTTCAAGACGTCTGCATCAGTACAGTACGAAGAAACGAAAAGAGATTCATGCTCTGTTCCCAAGAGAAAGAAAAACATACAGCCATTGCCAATTAAATCAAAAGCTAAGAGCTTACAAAATCAGAATATTATAGAAGCAGCGTTTCCAATTTCCGTTCCTCCAAAAATAATTAGAAAACGTTCGCCTCGGACTCGTAAAGTCGAAACCCCTCGCAAAACTCCCACACTACGATCCCACAAAGGCTTAGAAAATAAACACAGTAAGCTAAAAGAGCAGATAGTGGAATGAAGAAGAATGATAGAAGAAGAAGAATGACAATGGAATGAAGTGAATTGCTATTTAAATCAAATAATGTTGATTATTCGTATTTTTCTTATAACGAAGAGGTGTATTATTGAGACATTAAAATTCATGGCAGTTACTTATCACGAAACTTTACTTTTCATTTTACACGTGGTTGAGAATAATGTCTGCGATGATGAATTGGATGGAATATTGATAACTGGGTAAAGTTATGGGAAATAGTCGTACTATGAATATAGGTTCTTGGTTCATTTCGCGATCATATTAGCACAAAACAATTGAGACTTTGTCCTCTAGTTTCAAGATGGGTGGTGGCATCACGTTGGCTCCACGGTATCCATGGGCTCCTGTAATCACTGATCATCAGACGGGCCCTGAAATTCGTTCTCTCAGTTGATTATCTTTATTTCTTGTTAGTGAACAAGAACTATAGAACTATTGGTTCCTAGTACAAGTGGAGTTGGAACGTTTACCTTAGTTTGCCACTAGGGGCGCTGTTCTAACTGCATACAAATTTAAGTTAACTTTTACGCTATCGAGAACGTTAAAAAACTCGCACGAAGCACACTGATACGGGTAAATTATTATCTATGGGCGCAAGATTGACGCGACGCTCCGCTTTTCGTGATCAAAAACCTATTCCGATTTGAAATATTTAATATCAGATTTTCTTTTGACGTAAAATTACAATTTGCGTAATTACTGGTGCTAGGACATCTTGTGAGTCCGTGCGGGTAGGTACCACCACCCTGCCTATTTCTGCCGTGAAGCAATAATGCGTTTCGGTTTGAAGGGTGGGGCAGCCGTTGTAACTATGCTGAGACATTAGAACTTATATCTCAAGGTGGCTGGCGCATTTGCGTTGTAGATGTCTATGGGCTCCAGTAACCACTTAATACCAGGTGCGCTGTGAGCTCGTCTATTCATCTAAGCAATAAAAAAAAAGACTGGTTAGGTTTGTTTTACTTGTTGACAGGTTTGGTTAGATAGTAATAATTGTACTTGCGTATACGTTGGGGGCTAGATGATATCATTTGGTTGATTTATTCATGCGTTTCGGCTTGAAAAGCGGATCATTTTTGTTTCCACAGTATTCAAAGTTTAGTCACTCAACATTACATAGTAGATCTTGGGATCCTTACAAATTGTGTACTTACAATGTAATATTATTGTTGAGGACATCTCTAGATTTATATACCCATCATGAACAAAAAAAAAACAAAAATATTAAAGCAGGTTGAACTGTTTTTTATTTTTGAGAGGTTGAGAATTAAAAGACAGAATAACATGTAGCTAGAGTGTTCTACTTTAAAAATTAAAGACAAAACTGTTAGATACGTCTATTTTTATTTAAATGAATATGTACGGTAAATTATAACTTTTACTACCAAACTTTAATTATATAAAAGTCTTGCTGTAGACGAGAGACAATAGTGAATTGCCGCTAATGAAAATTACAGTTGTATTCTTTTCTGAAAAACAAGAAATGCATGTTTAGAACATTTTGAGTGACAATGCAGTTTTTATTTAATGCAAGGTAGTGTTATAAAAACATAATATCTATACCAGTGCTGGGCAAACATTTTTAAGGGCGGGCCACAAAGTTTAAGAAATCCTAGAGGGCCAGAATTATAGAAAAAATGCATTTTGTATTAAAGCTTTTTAATAAACAAAATACCTTTTACTATTACGCCTTATTAGGCGTGTGAGACGTGAGGTGTATGATAGATACATAGGTGAAAGGAATTGTTTTTTTCCAATAAATAAACTAATACCTGTGACAGACTGCCGAGATAATTACCTATATAATGATGGTAAGTTAATTATGTGATAAAGAAAGCTCAAAACACCCCTGACAAATTGGAGCTTTCATTAAAAATTCGAAGATTTTCAATTATAAACGTCAGATTTTATTTTATGCGCCAAAATGCTGACTAGAATATTTAGGATGGATGGACTCTCGGCGGGCCGCATTAACTACTTCCGTGGGCCGGAGTTGGCCCGCGGGCCGTACTTTGCCCATCGCTGATCTATACTGTCCGTGTACAAAATAAAAAACTCATACCCACATTTTGAAAACAATGATTTCCGCTAATAATATCGCTAGAGATAAAGCCACGCCGTACATCATCATAATAAGGACCGGTCGAAGGTCTAGAAGACCGACACTGCTGAATGCGACCGCTTTGCTCTCGCATCGAGGCTTCGGTACTTGATAGCGCTTGTTCAAAGCCGCCTGAATACCAACTTCACGCACGTGTTTGTAACTGTACGAGTAAAATAGATTGTCTATGATTAGTTCTTTTTTTTTTTTGCACTGAATATTACTGCAAAAATAAATACTGATTAAATATGACGACGCGACTGACGCAATGTTGTTTTTAAAAATAACCCCCGTCGAAGTCGTCGTGGCCTAAAGGATAAGACGTCCGATGCATACGTATGTAGCGATGCATCGGTGTTCGAATCCCGCCGGCAGGTACCAATTATTCCAATAAAATACGCACTTAACAAATGTTCACGATTGACTTCCACGGTGAAGGAATAAAATCGTGTAATCAAAATCAAACCCGCAAAAATTATAGTTTGCGTTATTACTGGTAGTAGGACGTCTTGTAAGTCCGCACGGATAGGTGCCACCATCCTGCCTATTTCTGCCGTGAAGCATTAATGCGTTTCGGTTTGGGCTTCAGTAACCACTTAACATCAGGGGGGCCGTGAGCCCGTCCACCCATCTAAGCAATAAAAAAAACGTGGGGTAGTTTGTTCATGAGTTCTCTTGAATACAGTCATAATTAATTGTTAACGTTAATATTAAATGCTAACCAATAATTTTAACATTAAGGAAATAGTTACATATCTTATTTTAGTTAAGTAAATAGCATAATAATACATAATAGTAGCGTTGCGCCGATATTTATATTATAATAAAGATGTCGGAATACCTGTTAATTAATAAATAGTTAAACAAATATGTATATTGCTCTAATATGTAATTAATATTATATTTTTATAGATATCTATATATTTTTCATTGATAATGCGCAAATGAATATAATTAAATGTAGTTAGGTATTTAATTTAAATGTCTTCAAAATATATTGATAGAATATTTGAATGAACGCTTACGAAACTCTAAGCAGTTCCAAATACGGAGAATCTTTCTTGACCGGCGTGAAAGCATCTAAACTGTTTATGTAGTCCACTTCGGTTAGATCACATTTTTCGTTTTCCTGAAATGTTTCCTCAATGCGCCGATAGACCGGCTCGACTATGGAGTGGAAAGCGAATAGACCCTGAAAAGAGGTTTCAATTATGTTTATCGACTAAAATTTAGGTTTTTTTAAGGGATTTTATGACCTGGTAACTAAGACCTTTAAGCCATGTCCTATTTTAATTTAAATTCTTAATTTTTTAAAAAATTATATTTTTGATTTTTTTTTTATTGCTTAGATGGGTGGACGAGCTCACAGCCCACCTGGTGTTAAGTGGTCACTTGAGCCCATAGACATCTACAACGTAAATGCGCCACCCACCTTGAGATATAAGTTCTAAGGTCTCAATTAAAGTTACAACGGCTGCCCCACCCTTCAAACCGAAACGCATTACTGCTTCACGGCAGAAATAGGCAGGGTGGTGGTACCTACCCGCGCAGACTCACAAGAGGTCCTACCGCCAATAATGGTATGGAGTGAAATGAAATGAAGATGATTAATTTGAGACATTAATCAACTGGGATGAAATGAAATGAAATGATATGAGATGATATGGGATGAACTATAATCTCAGTAAAACGGTGGTCATTTACTGAGATTTTTTCAGTGGACTTTTTGGAGGATGATGAGGAATGTTCATTATTATGCAAGTTACAGACGGCAAACCCTGATTGGTTAGTTACCAAAGGCCTGCTTATTTTTGCCGTGCTAAAGAATTAAGTAACAAAGGTACCCCACCCCCCTTTCCCCCAACCCCACCTTTCGAATCCTCTCGACTCCATATGAAATATCGTGGAACCGTGGCTTTCCGTTGTCAGGGATGATCGTTTTGTGCACAGAAACGTGTAGAGGGTCAATGTCGTCCTGAAAATTTCAGTAGAGCTTAATAAAAAGTTTGGATTGAGTAAAAGATAAATATTGTTTTTAGACGGATTCGTTTGTTGTTGTTTTTTTTTCTTGACTCTCTTGACCTTGAGAGTTTCCACATAAATATCCAGATTAATTTGAAATGACGCACATCCGAACCGAACTTATACCTAACAAGCTGCAACCTGTTCGGCTGCTTTTTAATCTGATATACGATTTGGAGAACATAAATACGTAAATGTTTGGAGTTCAGCTAAAATGTAATGAAAAATATTTTGTGTCAGTCAACTGGGAACATATTCGAATAACAGCTACATACTGCAACAGGGCGTCGTTCGGTTTTTTTATTATTTAAGCTAATGGTCTAGAGAGCCCATACCCGTACCCATACCCGAGACCAGACCATAACACGAACCCTAGCAAGAGCTCTACAGTGGAATACCAAAACAGGAGGGAATGGAGGAATATGCATTATTTTTTCCCTCGAGGGGTTATACTAGATTCGCAAAACGAGTAGGTGATCTCACGGGGCTCAAACCTGAAGATATTGCTAGCACTGGACCTAGCAAGAGCAGAGATTCGCAGAATCTAGCGCCGGATCGGAAATGCGACTCACTGAGAAAATCCGGCGAGAAACTCAGTGGGCTGTGTCTATGGGTTAATTTACTCGCCGAGCCCTTCGTCGCAAGTGACGTGTTCGACGAAAACGATGACCGGTGCTTGGGGTACCTAAAAGCACCGTTAATGGAACGAGAGGATTTAAAATGACGTGTTTTTGGCGACGTCGACTGCTTACCATTTGGTCCGCAGGATCGGCTATATAGTTTCTGGCGGCCACGATGAGAGGATTCTCATGTGCCGCTTTATCGAAGTGGCAAAGGGCGTCATGAGATATTAAAGCTCGATCCACCACCGTCCTACCTGTTTCTGCCCCGGAAATAGAACAGCGGGTAATCTCAATCAAATGAGACTTCGATCTTAAAGCCTAAAGAAGCGGTCACATTTATGCCGTAACATCTTGGTGCTTAAGTTCTTCTTCTTCTTCCCATAAAAAAACCTAATCAATTAATCATACATTAAAAACAAATCGATTATAGTCCACATCGTTGGCAGCCAACGTGACCTTGGATGCGGCCAGCTGCGCAAGGCTCGTGATCGAATTGGAAGGCGCCTGGAGCAACACCACGATGTTGGCAGAGTACGCAGCGTACAACGCCATTAGCGCCGTGAAGAAAATGAACTCCATTATTCTACCTGCAAAGTCACCTTGGATCTTAATAAGTAGACTTTAAAAGGACCGACCATACCATACCTAACATACCATACCATACTCTACCATGCCATGCCAAGCCTTGTCTTGCCTTACTTTATCATACCATTCATACCATGCCGTTCCATACCATACACACCATAGGCGAACATTTACCTGGTGTTCTTCTTGGTTCGATGAAGCAGCCCTGTTGAGTGACAGCACTCATTGTCAGCAGTAATGCATCTCCGATACTGCCGTCTAGTTGAGTTGGATTCTACAAATTAGGAAGGTTTTAAACATTAAAAGCCGACTAAGTCTTTGCCCGTAGTTTCGCCACGTGGATACGACACGCCACTATATAATCAGCAGTGGGATGAGAGCTAGCCTTCCTTCCCAGGGTTCAAACTATATCCAATTTATTCAAAATATGTACCATTGTTTGAACGTGAATAGGCTTTTCATGTTCTTGATAATAAATGGTATCCTATATTATGCTGTAAAAGGATAGAATATATGTCGTGTAGAATATGGATTGACACAGGAATATAAAGCTAATTAATTATTATTCCAGACACACATACAAACAGTCAACAAGCTCATTGTTTTCATAGCAAAATTCTTTTGTTATTCTTCTTTAGTTTGTTATGTGAGTCAAAGACGCTAGCAGACTGTAAGTAACATAAATTATTGTGTTGGTTTCTTTACTTCAAATACGTAATACATCGGAATCTGAAGATTTTTCGTTCGATTTTCTACATGGCTTTCTATAATGCAAATAACATCAACAATATTAAGTAACTAGCTGTATCCATCCGCTTCATTTAAAATTAACATTATTATTTCTCACCCCCACAAAGATTCTCATCATTAACGCCCCCGCAACTGGTGTAGGGAGTTCAACACTCATAAATATTAGCCTATCCATTAAGTACATGTATTTTCTACATGGATACCGAGTTTCAAGTCAATCGGATGCATGGTTCAGTAGTTAGAACGGAACATCCGTAAAAACCACTGTAGATTTATATACGAGGGCTGCACTAAAAGTATCGGGAATGGAATATTTCCACTGTTCCTGTCATATTAAAATCTTTTTAATTGAAAACTCCTTGGTTTTAAAAATTGGATACCATTTATTTATTTAAAAAAAGATTCTCGGTCTTGTCACGAGGTTTTGTCAAACTTGTTTAGTCGTTGAGAAAATGGAATTGACTCGAGAAAATTCAAGAGCGATGATTTATTATGACTTTCGAAGTGGTTTTACACAAAAACAGTGTGTTGACCGGATGAATTCTGCATTTGGTGATGAAGCCCCATCCAAAACCACAATTTATCGCTGGTTTGCTGAGTTTCAACGTGGACGTGTCAAGCTCAGTGATGATCCCCGTCAAGGTCGTCCAAAAACTGCAGTCACCCAAGAAAACGTTGATGCTGTGCGTAAGCTGATTGAGGAAGATCGACATGTGACATACCGCGAAATTCAGGCAACTTTAGACATTG